CAGTGTACATTACATGGATAGTGCACCTGAGAAAGTTGTGGGTTTAGAAAAAAGAATGACAGGTTAGTTCATTTAGTTTATGAACACGCTATGCACACATTTACACATGTGTTAATGAATAATTAATAATAATTTTAAAAATAGTAACTAAACCCATTCGTCAAAATGATGATACGTCAGATGAAGAAGATGTTAATGATCTTGCAATTCAAGCAGAACAAGAAGAAGATGATGATGATGATGAATATGATGGTTCATCTATAGACGAAACAACAACACAATCAGTACCAACATCACCAAGGCTACATACAACACAACTCCCCACAATGAATTCCATACCAACATCAAGTGATTTAACAAAATCGAACGACACAATGGATTCGATGCCTGGAGTATTTTCTGAACATCAAAAACAAGATTACGAGAATGAAAATATTAGTTTACCAACTGTTAATCAGCCCATGAACAACAACAACAACAATAAATGATATTGGATGGAAATATATACAAATTAGTGGCGGTGAATGTGAAATGACAATTTGTTGTAAATAAAATTAGACTATTTTTCAAAGACTTTAGGGATATTTCTCAATCAACACTTATTTATTTATTATTTATTTATTTTGTTAATAGAGAAATTATAATTTTAAGTGTATTATTATTATTTTAAATATTATTATTTTGTATATATATATATAAATGTATTATTATTATTATAAATTTAAAATTTCGCACCCCAAAATGTTGCAATGATCTCAAAAAAAAATTTTTCTTTGATGCTATGCTTTAACGCAATGAATGAAATTTATTGGTAAATATTAATTTATTTTTTTTATAAATTATAAAATGGAAGAAAATGATGAATAATCTTTAAATTTTTTAATAACTTTCGTTCTTCTGAATATGGAATGATGTTATCATCCTTTGTGGAAACTATTATTTCTGATTTAAAAAAAAGTTTTTACATAATTATTGGCATTATATAATTATAATTAATTCTTTTCTAAATCAATACTTTAGAATATTTAAAGTTCTTTAAAATCTTCAAACGGTTTATCGCTTATTGCCACATGTAAGAATGTAAATGATAAAAGGAAGTCAGAATTTTTTTTTTTTTTTGAAAAAATAATAATTAGTCAGAATACAAGAAAAAGTTACTCGTCTAACATCCTCCCATCCTTT